TACTTGTAATATATGGGAGTTCAGTTATATAAGGGCCTCTGAGGGTTAAATTGCATTGATAGCTTCGTGTATATAAAGAACTTATCTACCTAGTTAAGCTTTTTTACTTGAATATTTTCACAAAATGCTCTTCTCAGGGAAGACTTTCGTTTTTTATTACATATATTCTTAGACTGCTTAGTGAAAATTAGATACTGTGTCGTAGACTCGTAGTTTATAGATAAGTTGACTGCTTTGGGTAAGCCTCTTAAACGCCTATATCGGAGATCTAAGTCCAAGCATTGAGAGTTGTGCGTATACTTTTCCCCGTATTCTAATTCACTAAAATTTTATGAAGGTTGTTTAATCGAGTCTATGTAAAACATAGACCTGCCTTTCGAGAAGAAAGCATGTTATAGATGAATACATGTATCGAAGTAGAGATGCCCATTTGAGCTTGTGGCTATTGAGGGGTAGCAGCCTTATGAGAGTTGTGGCGCGATTTTGAAAGTGCGGGGTACATTGGGGAGTAAGAGATTTGGGGGCCAAGTTAGGTATTTTTTTTTTTTTTGGGTGGCGGTGGCGGTGGTGATTACACTCCAATGGAATCCGCATAGGAAAGTGAGAAGGTACCTAAAACCAAGCCAAACTGTACATCTCCTCATCTTTAAATGACCCTATTCTCCTCCTTGACTCGAAGTACTCCTTCGATAGTCCGAACGTCAAGGTTACTACCTGTCTCGAGATTCTCTCCAAGGCCCTTGAATATATTCGCATCAAACCCACAAATTAATCTTCCTAACCATTTTGTGGTTCGATCTTTCGCTTCAAAGATGGATGCCCAAGAACTCCAACAATACCTTGCCGATGCACCCCCTAGTGTCGTGAGGCTTGAGATAGAAAAACATTTTGATGCTTTAACTGATCGGCAAAAAAGATACGCACATTTCGCCAGCAGGTACCTACTATTCTATAAATTTCTATAAGATACGAAGACTTTGTATATTAACAACCTTTGATAGAGCGGCGTTTCAAGGTACCAGGATTGTAGCGAGACAAATCTCACCTGAGTCCGAACCAATAGTAAGCCAGCCAGCGCTATAGTCACATTATTATATGCTCACCTATCTAGTACGATTTCATATTAGCCCTTCATAAGAGCAGCGGCGGTGACTGGAAAGCGCTACAGGCCAAAGCTGGTATAACGGATGAGGACTTGGATCACTTCTTGCAGTATGCTGCGCAGTTCTTGGGAAACAATGGTAACTACAAGAGCTTCGGTGACGCCAAATTCATCCCGAGGTGCTCTGAATCCGTGTTCGCTGCACTTGCGGCAACATCCCCTGATGCTCAGAAGTTTCATAATGCCACCTCCGGCGCTATCTTCTCTGCCGATAAACCTGCCCTGCTGCATCTCGGCTACCCTGAAGAAGGGCATTTGACCACTTACTATCCCGGATCGCCCGATATCACTAAAGTCGAAATTGACGCCATCTCAGCATGGATGGAGAAGAAAGGACTGCTCCCAGAGAACACCCGTCTTGTCAAAAATAAGGATGGTTCATTTGATATTCTGATAGCTTCTGCCACTCGCACCATTCCTAGTGAAGGCGGCGATATTGGAAAGGAGACTACATTCAAAATCGAGGATGGTGCATTGGCCGGAAAGACGGTTAACCTGGTCTATGGCGATTACTCTGAAGAATTAGCCGCTGCCACGGCAAGTGCAAAGGGAGCGGCAGAAAATGCGGACAATGATGTTCAGAAGAAGATGTACAATGCCTATGCAAAGTCCTTCGAGGAGGGATCACTACTCGCCTTCAAGGATAGCCAGAGATTCTGGATCCGAGACAAGGGCCCAATGGTTGAGTCCAACATCGGTTTTATCGAGACGTACCGTGACCCTGCCGGTATCCGAGCCGAGTGGGAAGGCTTTGCCGCTGTGGTCAACCTAGAACGCACCCGAGCTTTCGGGGCTCTTGTGGAAGCTGCCCCTGCTCTCATTCCAATCTTGCCATGGGATAAGCATTTTGAGAAAGACAGTTTTTTGTCTCCGGATTTCACATCACTTGAAGTCTTAACATTTGCTGGTTCGGGAATTCCAATTGGAATCAACATCCCCAACTACGATGATATCAGACAAACCGAAGGCTTCAAGAACGTGTCTCTCGGCAATGTGATGAGCGCGAAGGCTCCGGACGAGAAGATTCCGTTCATTGCAGAGAAAGATATTGATATTTTTCAACGCTATCGCGATGGCTCCTTTGAGGTCCTAGTCGGCCTCCACGAGCTCACAGGGCACGGCTGTGGTAAACTATTACAAGAAACCGCGCCGGGAGAATTCAACTTTGACAAAGAAAATCCTCCCATCTCCCCCCTAACCGGAAAGCCTGTTACAACTTGGTACAAACCCGGGCAAACATGGAGCTCCGTTTTCGGCAGCTTGTCTGGTTCATATGAAGAGTGTCGTGCAGAACTTGTTGCGATGTACCTTGGCTGCGAATTCCCCGTCTTGAAGATCTTTGGCTTCGGGGACGGCTCAGTTGACATTAACGGCGAGGCGGGTGATGTGCTCTATGCTTCCTATCTCTCTATGGCTCGAGGCGGTCTTACGTCGCTTGAAATGTGGGATCCTAAGAGCAAAAAATGGGGACAAGCTCACTCGCAAGCCCGATTTTCCATTCTCAAGTGCTTCCTAGAAGCTGGCGATGATTTCTGCAAACTAGAATATAATGGAGATGACCTAACTGGTTTGACGATCAACTTAGATCGCTCGAAGATCCTTACGGCAGGCCGCAAAGCGGTGGGCGACTATCTTCAGAAGTTGCACATTTACAAATCCACAGCTGATGTCGAGAATGGAACCAAGTTCTACACCGAGATGACAAATGTCGATCCTGAATTCTGGGGTAAGAAGGTTAGGGACGAAGTTCTGCGCAACAAGCAGCCTCGAAAGGTGTTCGTGCAAGCCAATACCTACCTAGACGAAGCTACTGGTAAAGTTACGCTTAAGCACTACGACGCAACTCCCGAGGGAATGATACAGAGCTGGGCGGAACGAAACGTCTAACTCGAGAAGGAATACACAACTCGGATAAAAGAGCATATTATGAGCATCTAGCATTCTAGGCGGGTAGCATTCGGGATTGCATGAAGAATTCATTTTCACAAAAGAATAGAAATCATTGCAAGAGAACGTGTTCCTTGACTTGTAAGCCTCAAAATCTCACTCGCAGTAGCGGAATTAACAATCCGTGAATATGGATTGCCTTTTGCAGATATTAGTAACACATGTAGCACATAACTTCGTCCACGCGATTCCAAGTTTTTAGTTTTTTGCCTTGATAGTCGTTTATTGACTAGAACCTCGATTACAGACGCCAGAATCAATGTGACCGATGCCTCAACGTCCAGATGCAATTGGCAGAGCCAGCCCAGTTCCGCGATCCGCCGTCCGCAAAGTCATGTAAGTTAATTTTCTCTAAAAGCAACCTTTCCTCCTAGAAACCCCCGCGCGAGCGCAAGTCTACCACTGCATCTCGTGGGGCTTGTCACCCTTTCGGAGGCTGAAAGAACTGGCAAGGTAGCTGGCGAGCAGGTCCACCTTCTTGATGTTGGCAATCAGAGCCTTGTCGATGGCCTTCTGGTCCGCTGCCCGGCTGCTGCTGATCTCCTTCTTCTGCAGTGTCGCGTATTAGCATTCTGTCTCTTTCTTATCAAGTCTCCTGTAAAATAGATCATACCTGTGGCTTCTCGCCCTGCTTGAAGAAGGCGTCCTCACTGGCCTTGTCCTTTACCTTGTCCCGGGTGAAGTACTGGGCTTGCGCGACCTCATCGATCTTAGCCTGATCTAAGCCGGCGAGGTCGATCTTGTAGGAGGTGGCGATGACGTATCGCGAGTTGACTCGTCGTAGGGGGACACCGTTGATCTTGAAGGGGCCGGTGACGAGGAGAACGCCCTCCTCGAGGGTCTTCAGGAGAACGACTCGCTTGCCTCGGAAGCGGCCGGCCAGGAGGATAAGCACGGTACCGGGCTGTAGAGACTTTCGCGGAGCCCAGGGGCGGAGGGCCTTGCGGGTCTGTTGACGCGGAATTGTTAGCAAAGTGAATTCGAGATTATCGGTAAGTAATGTAGTAGTTCGCCCGGGAAATTGGTTGTGTCCATCTATCTGCACAATTCCGTAATTGAAATTCAATGTAGGATTGCAATTGCAGCAGCCTCGAGATTCGAGACGAATTCACCAAGACCACAACAACTTCTCCCACAAAATCCAAAATTCACCACATCGTGTTGCGAATGCCACAGATCCATCAAGGTCGGGATTGTTTTTGAATTGCTGTTGGTCAACTTACAGTCTTGGGCTGGGAATCATCGTCGGCGGGATACCACTTCTGGGCCTTCTGGGAAGGGTGAGGGACCTCCCGGGTCGACTTCCCGAACGTCTTCTGTGTGCTCGGCTGCGACATCGTGAAGGTTGTCGGGGGAGGGGGTGTTGTGGTGGGTTGAAGGGAAATTGTCAAGGTTCCTCGTTGTGGTTGATGATGCGAGGTCAGAAATTCCACTTTGCGCAAAAAGATCAATTCAGTTGTGGGCTTAGGCGAAGCCCTGGTGCCACTAGGTGCCACCGTTCGAAATCTAATCTATGCGGCTGGGTGGGGCCAATGTGGCTGGTGCGCTACAGCTGCCGAGGATGAGCCACAGCGTTTGAGATACCTACCTACCTTCCATGGAATTGGGTTTGTAGGTATTATGTAATCTCAAGAAGGTGCTTCCAGTGGGTCGTACAGTGTATTTACAATACATCTACGGTACATGTGTCGACGTAGCTCTTAGGTAAGCCAAGTCGAAGTGTGAGCTCTTGCATCTGCTTGACGAAGCTCCTGCAGCCTTACGGCCAGCATCTCAACAAGCGTCACGTAATCCCATTGACAACCATTTCTTCATTTCTCTATTTTATTTCAACCCAGGCATACATTCGTACCACAATTTTGACAATTTTGACAAGAAGCATTCGTCCAAAATGTCGATAACGCCTATCATAACGTTCAAGGCCGGCTATTGCGATGTAGATGTATGTACACCTGAGTCTCTAGTTTAAGCTTATTGGCCGTCTACAGTCAAACGATTAACCAGAATACTAGGCTTCAAGAAGACCCTTCAAGGTCAAGCCCTCAGAACGGCCTGGTTATATTTACCTTTATTCCGAAGATGGTATGTATTGCCCAGCTTTCCATGCCGAGCATTACGTATAATTACTCAATAATTACTCACACCTCCCAGATCTACTTCACTTCTGCTGGCGAGAGCGGAGTGCCCCTATCGACGAACCCGAGCTAGACCTCGTCATGGTGCCCACGGACGGCCATTTCGTACCTTACGATCCGAAAACTCAACCCAGCGGGGCCATCAAGCCCGACGGCCGCGTCTTCGTCCTCAAGTTCCTTTCCTCTTCCCAGCGTTACTTCTTCTACCTACAATCCAAACCCCAAGGTCGGACCGGCAACCCGAACTGGTTCAGCCCTCGCGACCTTAAGATTGGCGAGATCGTCGACAAGCTCCTCCAGGGCGAAGAGGTCGACGTGGCGCGTGAACTGGCCTCGATCAATAACAGCGACAACGACGACCGACGTGGCAACGATAATGACGAGACCATGGAGGACGTCGAAAGTCACGGCGGTGCTAGCGATCCCCAAGTAGGTAGCGGCGGTGCCGGCGCAGGCGCGACTGGCGGCGACATACGGGATGAGGGCGAGGGTGCGCGAGAAGGCGGTGCCGATGGTGGTAGAGCGTAGGTGACTCCTGATTCTTCGTTTGCGGCGTTTGAAAGAGGATCTTCAGGGGCGAGAACATTGCATGCACTTGACAAAAAGAAAACACTAGCCAATACGCCCAGAGGCTTCGGCCTGCTGGGCTTCCATGTAATACTAGAGATAAGCCCCCAAATGGGAAATAATATATCTCTTCGTCATTCACTTGCTACCTATTTTTCCGCTGGAGCTCTGCGCTGACGTTCTGTTAGTGCTGCCTCGGGTAACTCGGATGCTGCTATGGCAGTGAGAAACTTCCTGGACTCGTTGAAGGGAGGAAGCCAAGGGGAAGGGGAAGGGAAACTTTATCCGCTCCTTTCGGATCTTTTAACACCTCCTGTCACCGTCCCTATGGCCCGACAAGCTACGGAGGAGCAAGTAGACAATCTACTTAGCTTCTTACCGCCTTCGGTCCTGGTCCTGTCCCAACAAGCGGATGAGGGAGACACTACGGCAGAACCAACCGCGGCGGCGATACAAGCAGCCAAGGAAGCCATGAGTCTTGGCCAAAAGAAGGCGTTACTAGAAAAGGTCCTGCGAAGTCCGCAGTTCCATCAAAGTTTAGCTAGTCTGACGATGGCGATCCGAGACGGCGGCTTACCGAGCATTGCGGACGCGCTCTCTGTCCCGGTCGAGAACGGCGGATATTTCAAAGGAAGCCAGTTGCCTTTAGGCGGCGGGGAGGCAGTGGAGGCGTTTGTCGAGGGCGTTAAGAAGAGTGTGCAGAAGAAGTAAATAGGCTGGCTCGCCCAACTGCTGGGGTTTATAAATAATGGTAGGCACTCAATCTCATACATCACAGGTGTATAGATAATATATTATTCAACGGCCCTTTTAATTTTTTTTTGTCTTGTGATTGAATGTAGGAGATAATATTTTCAATTTAGTACATACATAGAGACGGGGTTCAAGGTAACCCCTAATATTCTAATATTCTAATATTCTTACTCGGGTAACTTCTGTATTTTGTTTCATCGACTGGATCACTTATAATCTTATGATATTGATATCTTTACCCATAGTCCGCGACTAGATATCACAGGATAGGATAGCACGAAATCGGCATGAGGAAGCATAAATTTCTGCAAGTGCTCATATTGAATAAAGTGTTCAGTTCAGGGAGCGTAAAGAATATAACCACCACCCCTATTATGCGTATATCTCTCTCTTTCTCTCTTCTCTCTTCTCTCTTCTCTCTTCCCCCTTTTCTCTAACAGCCTAAGCAGCTTAATCAATTATACCAGCCAAACTTCCTCCTCCACGCCTCCTCGTCGTCCGAAAACAACCTAGCCTGCCGAGCCTGGTCGAGAATCTCCTCCTCGCTCAAACTCCTAGCCGGGGCGGCCGCGGTGCCGCCATTCGCCGCTGCCACCGTGGGCGTCTCGCACCCGCGCAGGCCGATGAAGCGGCCGATGCGGCGCCGCTTCTCCTCCAGCGACATGTCCGAGGCCCAGACGATGGGGCACGGGTAGTGGAAGGTCCACTGGCAGGGGGTCCGCTGGTGGTAGAAGTGTGCTAGCTCTTCGAGTTCGGCGTCCGTCAGCAGCCAGAAGTTGAGGAGCGTGAGCGGGAACGACTGGTGGATCTCGCCGGTGGTCAGCTGGACTAGGGGGGCTAGAGGAAGGGCCATCTGCCGCAGTTTTTCCCGGAAGGCGGCGTTTTGGGCTGCGCGGCGGTGCCCGAGGGCGGGGGCAGGCTGGTTTTGCGTTTGGTTCTCCATTGGGGGGTGTGAGAGGTGAGTGGTGAGTGGTGAGTGGTTTGGGTTGTCGTGGTAGGTGCCTGGCTTGATAGGGTGGGTGAGAAGACGGGTCGAGGTGATGAAATGTGGTGATTCAGGCAGTCAGTCTGGTGACGATCTTGGTGTGATTGTAATTGTTTTATAACCTGATAACCTGGTTTTCTTCTAGAAGACAAGTTCAAATTCTTGTATATTTTCGAAATGACTACGATCTCTGCGATGTTGACGAGATGAATGAATGTCTTTAATGAGTGAATAATGCTAATAAAAGCAATGATAAAAATGATAAATAATAATAGATAATAATAATCAATAATAATAAAATGAGAAGGCTCGTATAAGATCCGCTCTTCTTCGCTTCTTTCTTGATTTTCAGTTATTCTAATCGGCCTTCGACGATTGTGTCTAGCCGCCAGCAGCTATGGGCGAAAGGTAAGTTTTATATGACGGGACGTTAGGAGAGAAACGAGCACTTGGGGGTTTTGGTCAACTACGCAGCTGCTGGGATGAAATCGTAGGAGTCTCCTCATAGGTTCGAGGGCGGCTGTCGTTTCTTCTTGTATGTACGAAGATGGCTACTTAGTTCTTTGTCAAGTGCTCGACGCTTCTGAGTGTCGCACTTCGGACGATTACTTCTTTGTTTGCTAGTGCCGCCATGTGTCCAAACGAAGCTTTGTCTAACCACGTTCCAAGTCTTTCATACCCGAACAGCACATAAAAGCATATTAAAGATGTAAATAGTTCCTCTATGGACGGGTTTAAAACTAATCTGTTGATTTCTTCCACCTAGAACCCCCATTGTGTCAGCTGACTGCCCCTAAGCGTAACCAAACAAAACCCGCTACTATTTTTGACTCTTCTTAGATGGTCCAATTCTATGTGCCCTTCTTCCCTCTAGAATCCCTTCCAGGCAAGCTTGGCTATGTGGTCCGCCTTCTTCCTGCTTTGCTTAACGAGACCCATGGCTTTCATCTCGGCCAACCCGCGATAGAACAAAACAAGTGCAGACTGCTCGTCGAGCCCATCTTCGTTTTCTTCACCAACAACTCCGTAATAAGCAGACCAAAGATCGGCGACGTTGACAAGAGAGCCAGTCTCAAGATAGAGTTGATATAATATGGAAGCTGTAGGGAGCGACGGCATAATGCGGTCCCCCTTTGTCTCGCAACAAGAACAATTGAGATAGTCGTGAGGGCGCGACAATGCCCGCTCAACAACCCCTCTTGGTCGCGGGATAAATACATCCCTGTAAGGGGATTTTGAATCAAAGAACCAGAGCTCATTGAAGAGTAGATCCTTTGCGCTATCGCTGCTGAGTTTCCCCTTTAGATGCTCAACAAGTCCATCCATAAGATTCGTATAGGCCTTGTCTTCATCCGTGAGAGCTGCTGCATCTTCGCTGAGCTGGACTTTTTGAGCAATAACAGTCGTTCTTAAAATCTTAGTCTGCCCGCTGTACTTGCTTCGGAGAACATTCCCTTGTTCTTCGGCATTCGCCTGCAAGTCTTTTACGCTAGACAGTAAGCTGGTAAAATATGAGACTGACTCCTCAGCTTCACTAGTCCAACGATCTAAGCCTAGGTTGATGTCTCCATTTTCAATATCGGATAATATCCGACTTAGAAATGTGATACTGTCTGCAGGTTGCATCCGCTTTATTGATTCTGAAAACTGGGCGATTTGTTCCGAGTCGATTCCGCGAGCAAGTGCATCTAGATAAAGCGTAGTGAAATCATGAGACAAAACGTTACTAGCGGTCAATATCTTTAGTTTGCGCAGAAGATTCAATGACCACCGACGGAAGTCTCGTAGAGAATCTTTTAGAAGTGCTCCAAGGTGCTGATCGTCGTCGAGAAGTAATCTCGCCTGCTTTATTTCACCCTTCTTAATAACTGCCTCTACGTGTCGACGAAATGATGGCAGATATCGCATCGCTTCTATATGTGCATCCTGAAATATATCGGCACTTATGCCATCAGATAAGAAGACCGTCAAAGGATTTGCGTAAAAGTGACACATGTAAACATACTGAAAGTATTAGTATTCTATATAGCATTCTATAATTCCTTGGAATGTATGCGACTTACTTTCAATGAGCTTGCAAATACTGGAATACTCGACACTTGATCCCGTTGACGCTCTAGAAGATCGTAGACGAGGGAAGAACCTAATCGTAGTGAAACGTCTGAATGTGCGATAGCAGCCTTGAAGATCCTCTCAATAATCGATGTTGATTGCTCGACGTCAAATTGATCCCCGTAGAGACACTGGCAAGTAGACTTTAAGAGTCTTGCTTGGAATAGCTCTACCGAGGTAGCCACTCCGAAGAGTAGAGAGAATGGGATTCGGTCAAGCCATGAGCTGAAAGCTAAGTTAGTCGTCGGGCGTGAATAATGATAAGCGCACTAACCTGAAGAGTGAGATGAGATCAGACAGTAAACCGCTTTCGAAGGCCTCGCTGTCTTGAAACGCGATGATGATATGGCGACGGGGGCTGGTTTTGAGATGAGCATGGAGAGCCTCGAGATCGTAGTTTAGATATTTACGTCCCTAAATTGTGAGTTAGAAATAAGTTACATTTGGAGTTAATTGAAAATTCGGCTTACATCTTTGCCCGTAGATAACTCTAGGTCGTTTTCATCATCTGTCTCTCTTGCCGTTACATTATGTATAATCTTTTTCAAGGCAGCCTTCAGATTAGACGCATCGCCGGATCTTAGCCGCACCACCTTTGCATCTACTTTGACCTGTAGAGCTTCTGAAAGTTGCTCAAATAAGAGATCCTGAGAAGCTAAATTTGGGCCGGTGATAATGAAGGCAGAAGGGATCTTGCCCGTGGATGCATGATCAGGAACTGTCTGCAGAAATGAGGTAACCTGATCTAATGTAGATTGGTTTGTCATTCGCAGTATACGCTATATCAAATTGTGAGTTCTCATTATCTAACGTCGTATACGACAGGTAATAACTAACTTGTATCCTCTCATCAATTTGAGACCAAGACGTCTCAAATAATTGTTGACGGAGGCGAACACAGCGCTCATTCTCGGAACCACCAAAAAGGGGTTGGAAAGTTAGCGAAGCATCTGGTTCCTGCGCTTCTGTCTTGTTTTGCCGATTTGAGACCTTCCTCCTTTTCGCAGGTCTACTTGCACCATCGACTCCGTCTAAGGGGTCAAAAACGTAGGCAGCCTAAGTCTTATTAGCGTTAAGTCCGGGTATATCGATATAAGTATTATTACCTGGTGCTGTTTCTCTTCATAAGTTTCTCGTAGCGATTCGTCGATGGCCATGATTACATATGAGTCTTGATTATGAGTCTTGATTATGAGTCTTGAGGCTCAATAGGAGGTAGTGATGTAGGATGTAGGTTCGGTACGCGTCTTGAGACTTGTAAGTGGACGTGATCGTGCAGCGGTTGTAGACCAGGGTCGTACCTACAACTCACCAGGATCTTCAACAATATAAGTGGGGATTTTACCCAAAAAAGCGAAGTATCAGCACACTCGAATTACTATGGCAAGATACAACTTCAGATAAATCTCGTGGTTTCTGGACGAGCTTTATCATCAAAAATTACCTATTTAAGTAAAGATTAAGCCAGAAGCTTCGAATCGTCTTGTATTTACCATAGTAAATATGCTGTGCTAATACTTATTAACTGCTTTAAGTAATTATCCCCACAGATATTGTTGAAGATCCTGGCGACTTGTATTTTAGCGTTGCTTAATCCCTACCACCCTTAAATCATCCCCTGTAATAATTCTAGGCGGGGCTAGCGGGACTAGGGACGCGCTAGACCGGCCGGCAGCGGTGATATCACCTTATCAACCTTAAATTTTTGTAAAAAAAGATTCCTATCTTTAGCAGCGTCTTGCCGCTCACTTATATCGGCTCACTTATATCGTCAAATACGACATAACATACAACCCTATTTCTCTATCATGCCTCCGAGAACTGCCATCGTCGAAAACTTCATCTGTAGGTCATGCCTGTCAACTTTACGAAAGCGAACGCCCGCGGCGCAATGGGCTTTACGGCACTCTTCGCAAGCTGCGCAACCCCTCGCCTCGACCCCTTCGTCCCGCCTATCACACGAACAAGAACTCGAACGCCAGAAGACCCTGGAGGCTCTAGGCCTCGTAAAAGAGGATAAAAATTCCCGGGTGTCGGTTCATTACTTCGAGCAAGGGAAGGGTGGAAGTTTGCGCCGTCTACGAGATGAGGACGAATTTGGCCAGTCGCTGATGGACCCGGACGGTCAAACTGAGGGCCGCCTAAAAGAATTGGAGCAAGAACTAGAACAAGCAACCCAGTTTACCAAAATAGTGGAGGAAATTTGGGGGAAGCAAGGGGCCGAGAAGTTACGAAAACGAGTTGCGACTCAAGATGACTCTTTACCTAAGCCTTCATTGCTATTGCCTGAGGAGGACTGGTCCGCGCCGCAAGACCGTACGCATATCGTCCAGCTGAACAATATGATAAAGACTATCGGTAGGAAAGTTCATGGTGGTACTCTTAATCTTAAACGAATCAACTCATTATGGAAGTATTATTCTGCAGCGCGTATCGCTTTATCCAAGAGGTGGGAATTAGTCCACGAGGACATATGGGATCTACTCTGGCAGATTCTTGCTGCGGACCATGCGAATAATCCCAACCGCATGTCACATATCCATGTTCTGGTTAAGGATATGCATAAGGCTGGTGTGAGCCTGCGTGACGACCAACAACTCCTTGCGATCGAAGCCTCCTTTATAAGCGGCTTTAGGGAAGATGCAATCACAGCTCATAAAAAACTAGTCACTACACTCGGAGCCAATCCAGAGACTTTTGCGGAATTTTGGCAGCTTGGGTTACGAATGTATTGCCTCATGGGCGACGTAGCTCGAGCCGAACGGGTTGCTAGCACGCTACTCGAGTCTGCCCACGACAAAGATCCTCGATATCTACTACCATTTATTCGAATGTGTGCCGGAAATCCTGCCACGGTAGAAAAGGGGTTCGAAATGTATCAACAACTAAGGTCCATACTAGGCGACTCGATTACCATCGACGACTACGATCAGATCATTTCGTACTTCCTTGCTTCAAACGAAACAGAGTTTGCATTTTATATCTTTGTCGAAATGATGACTTCTAACACCGTCGACCTACGCGGAGCTTACAGAGTGCCTCCCAGTATCGCCAATCCCTTTTTCTACGGCAAATGGCTAAAACGGTTAATAGGGGCAGGCGATCTGCAGGGTGCTTACAATGTTCTGCTGCATATGAAGTCTAAGGGCGTCATGCCTCATGCGATTGTAGTGAACGGCCTAATTGGTGCGTGGTTAAGGTCGAGTACCGCCGATAACATACAAAAAGCCGAGGACGTTGCCTGGGCTATGATTAATACCCGAATGCAGTTTTTAAGCATTAGAAAAGACATGCAAAACCTCGCTTCGTATGTCAGGTTGAGACAGTACGGAGAAGGCTGGCCCAGAGCAAACCTGGAAACTTTCTCGCTGCTAGCAGAAAACTATAAAGATCGTGGCCTCCATGCCAAGATGGAAGACCTCTGGGGGGCTTTTAGGAGCGCAGAAATTGCACCCGACTCATTCATATTAAACCAGTTACTCTTCTCCTATCTACAAGATGGGCAAGGGAAACATGTCGCGTCCCTCTCTCGCGATTTGACCGAACACTATCAAATTGAGCCGGACTCGTGGACTTTTCTGGTCCTTTGGCAGGCATTACCGGTCAACCGCCTCGTCCAGTTACCACCAGGACAAATCCCTGAAGAAATATCAAGGACGAGGTCTCTCTTTGCCGAACTAGTTAAGTCAGCCCACATCTTTGCCACAAGTGGTATCGATGTCAAGCTAGCTAGATACATTCTGCACTCATTTCGTAAACTCGACGACAAGATTGGCCTTCTTCTAGCGTATCGAGCATTGAGGCAGATATTCAAATTCACGCCCCCGGACATCATAATCCTAGAGCTACAGGTAGGATCTATGGATATCGAAAGGACCGGGAAGGGTAAAGGCGGCCTTCGATTGATGCACGCCGGGAAACAGGTCGAGACCTATCTGAAACGAAGACACCAGGAGCTCATCGCTTCTGGAGAGCTTCGCGCAGGTGTCAACCTACCGGACGATGTGAAGAGGGAAGAATTAAGCAATTTCCTTGATCAATTCCTACAAAACCAAATCGCGGTACTGGAGGAACCGAACGTTGAGGAGTACATCACACAGGCAGCTATAGAGATGGGGTTGCAAAGCGAGGTGCGAAGCCCCGAAGCGTTGTCGGATATATGAATCCTGTACATCTGATATAACAGATATTCACAAGTTCTGTATAAAATACTCGATGATAGTGTACATTAGCTATCCACCTACTACATACTCATGAAAACTGTATGATTAGATAGCATCACCGGCATATATACCCCATTTACTCTTACCTTCTTATTGCTATGCTTTCATATAGTTAAGTGTTTTAGTAGACATTCATTGGTAATTCACAATCGAGAGATTGGTATTATATGACTCGAGTATCTTTTATTAAGGGATAGCCTCCTATCTTACTCTATTCTCAGAAGTAATTTAATATGTAATATGTATGTATGAGTAAAGCAATTCCTCTCGAGCTCTTGAGTGAGATACCTATAGTAGAGTCTAGACATATATACATAGATACATCCTATGAGTAGATAAGAGATAAGGCTGAGTTGAATGCTAACCCCGAAACCGTCAGAAAAAAAGCCCTAGCGGGGGGCATTTTCGGAGTGGGTCCTGCACACATTCGGATGTCGAAAAAAACAATTAGCCGAAATTCCACCCAAGGGTCAACCTACTGTGACCCTACTGTGACTTTTTTCTACTTTTCAGAATACCCTCATCAATCTCCATCAACCAACAACATCGGCTTTAAAAATCCTAACTTCACAAATAAGAAGACATGGGAGCCAGCAGACAGAAGAAGGCGGAATACGTACGTCGCAATTATTTGCTCACCTCAATGGCTTATTTCTTTTGTAAGAAGTAATTATTAACAATCGGTTGCGCATAGTTCCCCAAGCTCAAGAGCTTGCTCGAGGAGTACCGCTCTGTTTTCCTCGTCACAGTCGACAATGTCAGCTCGCAGCAGATGCACGAGATCCGACAGTCTCTCCGTGGAGAGGCTGTCGTCCTGATGGGAAAGAACACCATGGTGAGTCGAAAAACTGCAAATCATTCCTATGTTTCCTATGTTTAGCGAACTCTTCGACTGATGGCGATATTCAGGTTCGCCGTGCCCTCAGGACCTTCATTGCCGATACCCCCGAGTACGAGCGTCTCCTTCCCCACGTCAGGGGCAACATCGGTTTCATCTTCACCAACGGTGACCTCAAGACTATCCGTGACAAGATCTTGTCCAACAAGGTCGCTGCCCCCGCTCGTGCTGGTGCCGTTGCGCCGGCTGACGTCTGGGTCCCCGCTGGCAACACTGGTATGGAACCTGGCAAGACCTCTTTCTTCCAGGCTCTCGGTGTCCCCACCAAGATTGCCCGTGGTACCATCGAAATCACCACCGACTTGAAGCTCGTTGAGGCCGGTAGCAAGGTCGGTCCCTCCGAGGCCACCCTACTCAACATGCTCAACATCTCCCCTTTCACCTATGGTCTGGGCGTCTCGCAGGTTTACGACCAGGGCAACACTTTCCCTCCCAGCGTTCTCGACATCAGCGAGGACCAGCTTCTCAAGACTTTCACCAGCGCGATCACTACCATCGCCGCTCTGTCGCTCGCCTTGAACTTCCCTACCCTGCCCTCCGTCATCCACTCTCTCGTCAACAGCTACAAGAAGGTCCTCGCCGTCGCCGTCGAGACCGACTACAGCTGGCCCGAGATCGAGCAGCTCAAGGACCGCATCGCCAACCCCGATGCTTACGCCTCCGCTGCCCCGGCTGCTGCTGCCGAGACTTCGGGAACTGCTGCCGCCGCCGAGGAGGAGAAGAAGAAGGACGAGTCCGAGGAGGAATCTGGTGATGAAGGTTTCGGTGGTCTCTTGTACGTCTCTCCTAACTCACAGGCTCCCAACTTTACGATCTTGCTAACGTATCTTTTCGCAGTGACTAAATATCATGACATGATCGCGGTGTTAACGGATTGGCATCAAACTGGGCTCCGGTTGGGTTTGCAAGATCTAGGCGTGCGAAAATCGACGGTACATAGGTCTATAACGGTCAATTAAGACACGTTGCAGAAGAGTCAGATGTGTCTGCCTATTTGTGATATGATGGTTGCATTGCCGCGTGCAGGGCTTCGCTTCCTCTCAAATGGTGAGTTCGAATCCTATTTTCAATTCCAATATTT